ATTCATTGATGCATCTTGGATGGTTGTCCAATGCACAATTGATCTCTTTGGGTAACAAAGACCACAACGGAAACCAAAAATACAAATGGCATATGAAGTACCCCGAACCGGTCAAATACTTCCCCCTCCCTTGCGATGAGTTACCTAGACTTAGGTATAAGATGGAGCCCGCCCACATCCCACATTACCTCCTCCCCAACAACATTCCATCCCATCTCCAAGCCCAAGCCGACCAAGCCGACCAAGCCGAACAACCCAATCCCCAACCGGAGCAACCCGAGCATCAAGAGGGACACGACTATTTCCAACATGACATCCCCGACCATCCCCAAAATCCGCCACCACAAGACTTTTTCCAACAACTCTTGGAGGGTCAACAATCCCTCCTAGCCGGTTTCCAAACAATGAGCCTTGATTACACCAAAATGGGAGAGCAATTCACTCAACTTCAAGGAGAAATAGGCCATTACCGGAACGAGCAACAAGCAAGGGAACGGCAATTTGATGCTTACCGGGAGGAGCAACGGTTGGCTTTTCAAAGGATGGAGGAACAAAGGGCGGCCGACATGCAAAGGTATGAAGAAGACTACCGGAGGATGTATGGACCGACATATTCGTACATGTCCCAACTTGGTGGGTTTGCGTCAATGGCCTCACCTCCACCGGCACCCTCATGGTATAACCCCTCCGATTGGGGGAATTTCGGTGGCTCTAGTTCCGGCGGCGGCTATGATGGAGGAGACACCACTATGGGAGAAGGGGGCGGTGATGACGTGCACGGGAGCGGCTTTGGAGGCGGCTACTACGGAGGAGAAGGCGGGCACTAGGGATAGTGCCATGCTTCAAGTGTGGGGGAGGAAGATCATCTTGTGGTATGTACACTCCTTTATTTCTACCTTGTACTAAGCATTATTTTCTAAAAAAAAAAAATGAAACAAAAAAAAAAAAAAAAAATGAAATAAAAGAAATGAAATGCTAGTTAGGTTGAAAACCCAAAAGGGCAATCTAAGCAACAAGGGCTTACACAAAAAAAATGAGTGAGTGGAAGAGAAGGAAAAGAAAAGAGATGCTAGGATGAAAACCTGAAAAGGCTCCTAGGCAAAATGAGAGATATGAGAGAAAAATTTGTTCTATTTTGCAGGACACCATCTCTTGAGGAAGAAGAAGAAGAAGGAGAGAAGACAAGAAAAAGAAGAAATAGGAAGCATAGAAGACCGTTAAACCCAAGGAAATGTTGTTTTGTAACTTCATTCACTATACTTGGTGGTTTTAGTTTCTTATTTCTTCCTCTCTATGAACTCATGATCTTGTGATAAACATTGTATAAACATTTGGTTTTACTCGAGGTCGAGTAAAGGAACTAAGTGTGGGGAGTTGACATTCATGTTATTTCCGTATTTATAATTGTGTTTTTGATTAGTTTTGAGTGATTGTTACTCTAGAAATTACACACTTTTGGTGTAAAAGTTTAGTTTGTAAAATAGTTTTAAATTGTTTAGATTAGGTTGATTCTGAGCTCAAACAGGTCCAAGACCACTCTAGGGACCATTGGTGAACATCACAATTGGAAGGAAAGTGCAAAGATTTCAAGAAAAGATGAAGATTCTGATTTTTGGTAGTGTACCCGGTCGAGTATGCCCTATACTCGATCGGGTAAGTTGCTGAAAAGTCAAATCGGATAAATCCGGGAACAAGGCAACATGCAGGAGGATTTTCTAACTCGATCGCGTATCCATACCCGATCGGGTAGCCGACATACCCGATCGGGTATGACCCCAGAATTTCAGTTTCGAGGAAACTAACCCTTACCCGATCGGTTGAGCTAAAAACTCGATCGGGTACACGACCCTGCAGGCCTAAAAAGCCTATAAATACACCCCATTTCCTCCACAAGAATGACACCAATTCTTATATACTTCTAAGCTCAGTTTAGACAAGTTCTTTCTTTATATTTTTATCATGTTTAGTCTCCAAATGAGGAGCTAAACTCTTCCCTCTTGGTTTTGCTACTTTGAAGCTTAATGATTTGTAAGTTGTGAGTTATCTTCTTTAATCTTCTTCCTTGAATATTAATTACTTCCTATTCATATCCCATATTAATATATTGAGCATTACTTAAAGTATAAACTAGTCTTGCTCTATATATTAATTATTACTAGAATCAATCGGTTAATACGCTTGTTATTAATTCGGTTCTTTCAATGGTAGTAAACTTGGATTGCTAATGCATGCTTCTCATGGTTAATAATCTAAGGGGAATTAATTATATTGATTAAACCAATAAACCGCTTGTGTTGAGGTTATCAATCTCAATCGTTTTCATCTTAAGTTTATTGCTACTATCAATTTAATATACGGCGCTTGTCCTATATTGATTCGATAGTAAGTTTTATTAATGAACGCATCTCGTTATTAATAACTACCCTCGATGAACTGGATATACTCCTCGATTGAGTATTCGAGAGGAAGATAGTTAAAGATATAACCGGGATCGACGAACATTTCATTAAGTGGATAAAAGCAAAGCCAAGTCTTCTTCTCATCAATTAAACCACATAACTCGTTCATCTTCGTGTTCAATTTTAATTGAATTATTCAATCAAAACCCCCCTTTATATTTACTAGTTTATAAAAAAGAGAAGTATTCCTTTCCCTGCGGATACGAACCTTACTTCAATATACTACGTATATTAGTTGTATTGTATTTATTTTGAGTGCACCTCACGACAAGTGCACGTCAGTTCTTCCCCGCTTCATTTTTAGTGCCAAAACCATGTCTGCCATGGATGCTCTCAAAACCATCACAACTTGGACATGTCCGTTGAGGTCACCTCCTATGAACAGCTTCTCTCCCCTTGGCACTCATTGGACCACCTCCTCAAGATCCTCCCAAAATTGTTGAGTGATAGATGCATCTAATCTCACTTGTGGTGCATAGGCACTTACCACCGACACGATCTCATTTCTTATAATCAACTTATGCTCATAATGCGGTCGTTCTTTCTGAAGACTTCCACCACACCCCCAACATAATCATGTGCCACCATAATGCCTACTCCATTTATGTTCCTTTCTCTCCCCGAATACCACAACTTAAAACCTCCAGAATTAATCTCACGTGCCTTTTCTCCAACCCACTTAGTTTCTTGCATGCACATTATGCTGACATTCCTCCTTTTCATAACCTCAGCTATCTCAGATGATCTTCTCATAAGAGAGCCAACATTCCATGTCCCAAAACATATTTGACACCCACCATGCCCTTGCATATTTGACACCATCCCCGGGCGTTGGAATGGTGCGTCGCTTCCGAGCGATGACCTAGCAGCCTTATCATTCTTATCACCACACCCAGGCCTATGAAGTGTAACGCGCCCTTGCATATTTGACACCACCCCAGGCGGAGGGATGACGCGTCGCTTATGGGCGACGACCTAACGGAGTCCATAGGAGTCTATTATATATAAAATTTAAAATTTTCATATAAAATAAATAATAAGAAAAAGAAAGTGAATCAGAAGTTACGAAGCAGAATTCACATATTCACGATGTTCAGTAATACTCAATAGAATAGGTCTGGTGCTCATTAAAAGTTCATTAATGCTCATTAAAAGAAACCATGATTTTCATCTCAATAGAGAAGGTTTGATGCTCAATGAAAATCGTTATGTTAAACTAACAAACCTTAGCATTTTCATATCAATGAACATTTTGTAATTTATATATGCTCTTTTGGTACTGATGTTATGCTCATTTTAAAATGTCATATCAATGCATTTTTCAAAAGTATCATATTACATTAAATTCACATATTGAAATTCATAGAAATGCATTATAGATATAAATTAGGGAAAAGGGGCAAATAAGCCCTCGAGCTAATAAAAAAAAGTACAAATAAGCCCTTATATAGGAGACTCAGTCCGGCTATCGTCATTTGAGGATTTCCCCGGTGGTATTTTTAGATAATGTTTTTTGAGCATCTTATTTATTAAGTCTACTTTAGCCATACCAAATTTCAGCTAAAAATTCTACCGAGAAAGCAGTCAAATGATTTTTTGAAATATGTTGCGCTGTAAAACTGTGCAATTATCTCCAAAAATTCATTTGACTGCCTTCTAGATTGAATTTTTAGCTGAAATTTGGTATGGCTAAACTAGACTTAATGAAGAAAATGCTCAAAAACAATTCACCAGGAACCTCCCCAAATGATGAAGGTCGGGCAGAACCTCCTATATAAGAGCCTATTTGCATTTTTTTGGTTAGTTCGAAGGCTTATTTGCATCTTTTCCCTGTAAATTAATAAGTTTTTATAAAAGAACAAATAAGAAAAAGATGAATTAAAAAAATATGATGCACAGATCATTATGCTCATTGTTAGTCTCCTAATATTCAATAAAATATGTTAGATGTTCACTAAAAGTACCTTAATGCCCACATATACAAAAATGTCACCCGAAAAAAATTGATGAGTTGATTAATGTGTTGCTTTGGTGTTTGGCGTTGGGGCTACAGGTAGGGGTGGTTCGGTACGGTATATCTTATATTTTTTCTCATACCTTTGCCGTACCAAAACTTTCAGTATGCAAAATTTGCATACTTTTACCTTACCGAAGTTTCGGTATACCGCATTTCGGTATACAGAAGTTTCGGCTCGGTAACGGTACAGTATCGGTAAATTACCGTGCATGTCTCCCAATACATGTTAAATCTATTATTAAAATCTTACGAAATACAATTAATAATCTATTGATGTCAATTCAATATTGACAATAATTATGGGCTTCAAAATGTAATGGATTTCTACAATATATTAGAATTAAAAGTAATTGTTGAGTAGGGAGTCGGTACGATATTATACCGGTATACCGTGGTATTTGAAAACATTTAACGTTACTGTATCGAAATAGATCGGTATACCAATATTTCGGTATTTTCCGGTATTTTTTGATACTGTAAGTGCAGTATACCTATATTTTGTATTTTTTCCCACCCTAGCTACAGGTGAGTGTTTGCCTGCAGAAGTTTACCACCACGGCTCCACTGCCTTTCCAAAAGTACTGAAAAACTCTGGTCAAAATTCGAGTGGGAGAGAAGTGGCTGGTCGTGAATCTCGCAGGAAGAATGCAAGACGTCGTCTGAAAAGCGACAACCGTCGGCTGTCGACGCTCGATTGTTTACTAAAAGCTCCAAGGTATTTCGTATTTTAGATCTTACAAGGAAATTTAAAATAAAAATGGAGTCCCACACTTTTTAGAATTGAGCCCCAGTTGCGTTGAATTTTGAGGCTTACACATCTCCTACGCCTTACGCCCTTCGCCTCTATGCTTTAGCGCCTCAGAAAAATGAAAGGCGTAAGCCTGATTACTGGCGTTTCAGTGACGCCTTTGCGTCTTTGCGCCTCAGAGGCGAAAGCCTCAAACGCCTTTAAAGTGGTAGATGGTAAGGGTTGTACTGTCTTGGAGAATGAACAAAAGAACGAATGTCCTAGTCAACAAGATGTACAGGAGATTGTTGTGCTATTTGATGGTGATGACCCACACTATATGTCCTTCTTGAGTTGTACTGTTCAAAATGGTGTGTCATACACAACTCATCTTGCAGAAAATGACTCACTCTTGTCCATACATTATGAAAAAGAGGCTGACTTTGTTCATGAGCCAGATGACGGGAGTGGTGATGACCCAGGCTATATGGTGTTCTTGGCTAGTACTGTTCAAAAAGGGACATCATACATCACTAAGCATGAAGAGAATGGCTCCCTCTTGCATTTACACTATGAAAATGTGGATGAGTTTGGTTACGAGCCGGATGATGGCAACAGTGATGACCCGTACTATTTGATGTTCTTGGCTAGTACGGTTCAGAAAGGCACATCATACATCACTAAACATGAAGAGGATGGCTCGCTCTTGCATTTACATTATGAAAATGGGGATGAGTTTGGTTACGAGCCGGATGATGGCAACAGTGATGACCCATACTATTTGATGTTCTTGGCTAGTACGGTTCAGAAAGGCACATCGTACATGACTAGGCATGAAGAAAATGGCTCGCTCTTGGTCATAGATTATGAGGGAGAGGACAGTCTGGGGGTAAGCATAGATGAAAATTGTTTGGTTTTCCGGCAAAACTTCTCATCTAAAATATTTGATGTCGATACTTCGTCTCCTGGCAACCGGCTTGTAGAATACTATCTTGAGGACCGGGATGAAGATTATTTAGTTTGTCGATCGATGGATGACTGTAATGATTTTGAAGATGTTGAAGTTATTGAAAACAAGTATTCTATGGCTGGTGAGAGATACCCTGATTGTTTTGTCAGTTCAAAGGAATATCTCAGTGTATGCTCTTTTCCCAACCTCTTTAAATAGCCGTTAATCCACTAATTGCCTCTCTCCCTCTATTCTATTGCACTTTCTATATTTCATTTTTGTTTCAATGTATTATACTATTTCCGAATGTGCTTGTAAGCTGCTCTTCTTTCCTGATACATTAAAAGCTAGATGAGACGAACAAGTTTTGTGGTCAAAGTATGCAATCTCCATTGAGGAAGAAGATCATTACTATTCTCAAGAGGCCATATGACCAGTCAGAGTATGAAAATCTTTTGAAACATGCCAAAGTTCGACTGCCTATGGAAAGAAACATGGATTTGAGGAATGGGAGAGATATAGCATACAGTGCAAATAAGAAAGCAAAGTCCCTTCTTGACCACCACAAAGGTAAGGTTTATATTTGCCGCTATTTTGTTTCAATATTACCAATTTTTATTTCCTTTACAAGTTTCCACACAGATGCCATATGATAGTTTCTCTTCATGGTATGTGTAATATGTGCTCGCATTTCTAATTATGTCATTGAACTAGCTTTGTATATCTAGTATGATGGGCCTTATCTGCAGTCTTCCATCTGATGGGGGCCTGTAAAACCATCTTTTATACACTTCTTGGAAACAAATATCGGTGGGTCCAGAAGGCACATTATTTATGTGCAAGGTGTTTTGTTTCTTGTAATTCTATTCTTTCCCTTGTTAATATGAGCCCCCATATTGTGGTTTCAACTGGTATATATTTATGCTCCGTGTACAGTTTTTCGACTCATTCATACATACCATGTCTCTTTATTTCATATGGTATCGGATCAACAGGCTCGGTAGGTTAGGCATCTTCAGTGATTTTCACAGCCCCCCTTTATCCGGAAGCCTTCTCTCTCTTTTGCGCACATAACTTTTTTTTTTCGGGTTCTTCGTCTGAACCATCACCATCCCTGGGACTGCATGTCTATGGTGCTCATCTGTTTCCAAAAGCCCAATGTCAGAGACTCAGAGCCCCCCTCGTGCACCCAACAGCCGTGCCTCCATTGCACACTTGCACCTCCTGTTGCTATTTATGAAGATCTTCTTTTCCTAGAAGAATTTGAAGATCATGCCACTCTTAGTTCTTAGTAGTTAGTACCGTGAAATGTATTTTATTGCTTTTGTTAGATATATAGAGAAATACTACCTCCGCCCCCCTAAGATTGGGATTTGGGAGTGGTGTGGGTATTAAGAAAAGTGGAGTTATGTGGTTGGTATTGAATTAGTAAAGTGTTAATAACGTAAGATTGAATTTCAATCACCCAAATATTACCAAATATGGTACGAAACAAACTTAGAGAGACAAATGAAAAAGGTAAATGGGGTAAAGATAGAGGGACGGAGGAAGTAAAAATTAATATTGAAACTCGTCTGAAAGAAACCCCTAGCAAACCATACCACAGTTCTTTGAGAAGAACTACTTTACTTATTAACTTAATTTGATAATTTATCATGCAGATATCAAGGATAAACTAAAAGCAGCGAAAGCTAACAAACGTAAAAGGTTGAACATTTTGCGCGGATTTTTCTTTTGGCTTCAGGTAAGTGTTTTTCACACTTCCCTAATATATTGACTTATGGTATCCCTATTATGAGTGACGTATAAGTAGTTCTTTATCTCTTCTAGCTCCTGCACCCCACCCCCCACCCCCCACCCTCTCTTCTCTTACTTGCATGCTAACAGTCTGCTACTCTGCTATCACTTTTATTCCGTTCTTATTTATTTCTTCTGTGTTTGACACACGTAGAAAAGACACAGGCAGTATATTTTGTGGGTTTAGATTTAAAGAGTATGTTAGTTTAGTAGTTTGTTTTCAGAATAAAGATGGAGTATCAAAGTGTGGAGGCTTGATTTGTCGCATTATTTATTGTTATAAACTTAAACTTTCTGTTCAAAACAACATACATCTTTTTTTTCCTTTGCTGGTAAGCCAGTTGTTGGATGATCATTAAATAGGTTTGTAGGTTTATAAACAGGTCCTCAGGCCATCCTTTGAAACATTTACTTTTATTTTCCAAAAAGTTTGAACATACACCATAACTATTTTCACTACATTCATTTGGTTCAGCTTCTTAATTTTCATATGAATCATTTGAAAGGAGCTAACTCAACTTCTAAATGTCTTGCAGTTGTACCCCATACTCATGACAATATTACATTCTAAAGTAGCAAATTCAATCCTGGTAAAATTTTGCTGACTTGGCAATTCAAATACAAAACTAAATTTCTCATTACAATGTATAAGAGCTCCCACATGGATAAGTGTTATGCACAACAATACTCGACATGCCAACTTACACTTAACACCTCTCAAGATTGTCTAGAGCCATTATTAGATGGCATTACAATTTTCATGTGTTTTCTCTCCTAAAACTTGGCATCATGACGTGGCATCTAGGGTGTCTTTGGATACCAGCTTAGCAAAGTTTGACCGTAAATCCGTAATCAATGTTGGTACCACCATGGAATGTAATATTTGACATGAGTAGGAGTACCACTGGATACATTAAAGATTAGAATAACTAGAAATTTGTCAGCTAAGATTTTGTTTTCTCATGCAGCTTTGATAAGTCCTTCGATCGTTGACAAAACTATAGAATAATAACCTAAGTATTTGTTCAATTGTGGCAGCATTTGGCTCAGGAAGGAGTATTTAAACCTTGGACCGATACAGCTTGTCTTGATATTTTGCCTTCATATCGATGACTCTGAACTTTTCAGTATCTATTAATGTTTTATGTACAGTAATACAATATTACTTCTGATCAGCTTCATTTCCCCAGCAAGGCTGTAAGTACGATGTAGTGCCCCACAGATAAGCACAATTCAATGCACTCGTGTCACAAATGTCTGGAAGGTTTTGCTTTATCGTTGAGTTATGTCATGTAAATAAGAACCAAGTACGAATATTTTTCCCTCACTTGGTTTTTGGCTCGTTTATTGATATTTTAGACTATCATTATCCATTAGCAATATTCTAAAAGGCGGCACCTAGCCAGGCATGAGGCGGTGGGAGAACGTCTTGCATGGTAGGAAAGCGTGTAAAAGGCAGTCAACTGTAACATTGATCATCAAAGGCTGAAAGGCGTGAAGAGGCGTAAGCTTAGGCGTGAAAGGTGAGGCTAGGCATGAAAAAGTGAAAGTTTTTATATGATTTTTTTTTGCAAAGAAAAAATTAATTAAATTTTAAAAATCACTTTTACAAACATTTTATGTATGGAATCTAAAATGAAGTAGTAAAAAGTAACAATTTATCATTTTGTATTTTTGTATTTAAACTTTTTATAAATTTAAAAATTGTACATATTGAACAAAATAAAAATTAGACCCAATCTTGTATAATAGAATAATAGTTTTTGAACATTCATTATTTTTCATCATATATCACTATAAAATAACATTTATCAATAGAAACCTAAAGTACCTTTTCACGCCTAGGCTTCGTCTATTCCCGTCTAGCCATGCAAGTGTGCAACCATAAAAACAATCATAACATTTCTTTCATCATCATTTACTTTTATTTTAGTGTTTGAGTTTGTTGTGTTTTAACTCAATGAAGAAAAGATTTTTTTTTCTTAACGCAATACAAGATTGTTGTTTATTGGAAAATTAAGATTGTCATCGTAAAGACACATGAAAATTTCTTGCCTCTGCTTACACAAATGAATAAAAAAACAAAACAAAATTGTTGAGACTTCAAAACAAAATAAAAAAACTATATATTTATAGCGATAATTTTAAAAAAGTTTTTTTTTGTGGTGAAGTAAGGCAATTAGGCAAAAATGCAAAATGCAAACAAATTCCCTATTTAAGAATCAAAACATATAAAATTTTGTTATAGGAATATAGGATGCAAAGCAAATGTATTGCAATAGGCATAAAGTGTGATCCTATTATTTCGATTGTAAGGAGCTTTGTTGTTTGAATTCCTTAACCTTTGCGACTTTGCCCTTTGGGGATTTGATAACAAGACCCATATGATAAAAGATAGTTATAAAGATTGAAAAAAACTATTTGTATACACTTATTTGTACAGTGTCATTCAAGACAAAAAATAGTCTATTCATAGGTGTGTATGAAGTGTGTACAAATAAGTGTGTACAAGAAGCACATCTGATAAAGATTTACATTTTGAAACATGAATAGCTAAAAATGTCATTACATACTCCTAATTGCATAGAGCCTGGAAAGACCTACCTATAAACATGTACTCGTATATAAAAACTTTTTTACAGTATCTTTTTTACAGTATGTTTCTGCCAATGAAATCTCAAAAATCAGTAGAAGCAGCACAAAAGCCAGTCTAATCCTTCCTTGATGACACACTGCTATTCATTCTGATCTCCTATAAATGAATCCAGACGTTCAGACCTTCATAGACATATCATGGTGGCTTGAGGGAGCGAAAACTTCCAGATTTGAGTCAACTTGGTACATACTGTGAATTTCAAAGAGTACTCTATGATGGATATATACATAAATGAAATCCTCGAGACCGGTCAATGTTTGGTTCAGTGTCTGTGACTGTTATATCTAAGCAGCATCATCTGTTGAACTTGATGGTTCATCAAGTAGCAGGTGTTCGTTGAGTACGTCCATCGCATTTCCCCTCCCAAGAGCATGTCGCTTTTGGAACTTTGAATTCATCTGCAACGTGTCCTCTTCTCCTCTTAACATTTTCAGGACCTGCATCACGCTTAAGATCAATATATGATAGTTGTCCAAATATAGGCATGTTGAATGAAGAACTCTACTCCAATTTCTCAATCTCTCAGATTGTCAAGTTTTACACCTACAGGCTACAGATGGCCTAGGCCCTAAGCAGGGGCAAGTACAAATAATTTTTTGGTTAAATTTTTGCACAGAATTTTTTATACTAATAATTTAGGCATTTTTTAAATTTGGGGTGACCAAGTCTGAGTTTGCCAAAATCAAGTCTTTTTTATTATTTTTGTGCAAAAAGCTCCCTGCAAAATGTGCTGCTCACATGGCATTTTCCTCCTGTGAAATACCTTAAGATAGGCAAACTCATTTGCTACTGGATTTTTGGACATATACGCGGATCAGTAAAGTTACAGTACTAATAATAGGCACATGCAAAAATTATTAAACCAAATCAGTAGTTTTCTTGTTTAAATCTTGTATTCTACTCCGTATTTTTTTAGAGAAGTATTATGTCAAATATTTGGCTTAGTTATGACCTTGTAATTCCCAACAAGTTGTCCTAACATCTATTACTGAGATTTATTTAAGATGACATGCCTTGCTCATTGGAGGTCTATCTGCGGAAGACTGCTGTATACACAAAGAAGCAGCCATAGCCATGCGACTCATCTCTTCCATGTTATACACTCCCCCAAATGCTGGATCAGCCAACTCGGCAATATTTCTTTTGAGCAGATGAGGCTTGGCCTACATAGGCAGCCTTCTTAGATTTTAATCTCAATTTGGTATGCTGGATATAGAAACCACTTTTAAATGTATGAGTTTAAGGCAGCATAACATACCCACATCACTACACTATTATGGGATTGATCCAAAGCAGGGCGGCCTGTAATTATCTCCAGCAGCAGCACCCCATAAGCATAGACATCAGTTTTCTCGTCAACAATTCCATGCATGAAGAGTTCGGGGGGTAGGTATCTGATATGAAGAATAATAAATACATAAATGTAATGACAGTGGAGAGATGCTTGAATAAATGAAGAAATGAGTTTAAGGTTTTCTGTCTCCACCAACCCAAATGTGCCTTCAAATTGAGATACAGTGAGGTGAGTCCATTGGTCAGGGAGCCATTTTGCGAGCCCAAAATCGGATATCTGCATCCATATTAAAATGTTTTTAATTGAAGGTCATTCCACATCAATTACTAAAGGTTTATAAAAAATTAGAGGGCCCCTCCCAAAATGTCAATGTGATATGAGGAGTAGTTTAGTGTTTCTCCTCTTTGGATTGTGTATTTTAAAATTTAAAATTGTAATAAGGGTGCACATTCCTCACAGGCTCACAGCCCTACAACCCTTTTCTCGTAAGAGCATATATCCTGCATTTTTCTCCACCAAAGACTCACATCAATGACATCCTCATTATGATTTAGATCGACTCTGGTATCACATTAACATTTTAAGTTTCATTCTAAAAACTCATCATGATAGGAGCAATAACTCCATTTATTATATGGTCGCTTGTTATGATATGAGATAGACTCTTCAACAAGGTTGCCTTGTTAATAACAATATAGCATAGCACTTATGTAGAAAACTGGTTAAGATGGTTGCTTTGATACCATTTGTAACACCTGGAGGTGGTTACTCTTGGTGGGCTGACCCCTCTAATCACCACACATTCATTAGGTTAAAGGTGTTTTGTAAGCTAAATAAGATACCTGAGGCTCAAAATCTTGTGACAACAAAATATTAGCAGCCTTGATATCTCGATGGATAATTCTTCGCTGACACCCTTCATGAAGATAAGACAGACCCTCTGCAGTGCCCAAAGCGATGTTGTATCTACTTTCCCAAAGTAGCTTTTCCTTGTGGTCTAAACATAAGACAATCATTCCAATTAAATGTAAGTAAATCATATTGATTTAGTACTTGGGAAATGAAAGAACTAACTGGAAGCAAGAATGCAGATAGACCATTGAGCAAAGTTGCTAAGCTCCCATTAGGAGACAGCGGTAGGACAAGATGCATCCCTCCTTCAACTCCATAACCAATAACACTTGCAATGTTGGGATGCTTCACATGTACCAAAATTCCGAGCTCAGATAAGTAGTCTGCTGTCATCTCCTCAGGACTTCCTCTTATCAGTCTCTTAACTGCTACTAGCCGCTCATCATCCAAGTGTCCCTTGTATACTTCTGAATAACCTCCCTCCCCAATCAAATTTTCTAAAGAATGACAAATCCACATTGTTTCAGAACCATATATACAGATGTATTTTTCAGCATTAAGTAGGAAAGAAAACCCCAAAAATGAAGTGGGTAAAAAAGATCTCGGAAACGTGATGTTGAAAAGTAAACTTGTTTTCTAATCAAGTTTAATACTCAGTACGTAGTATTTGTATCCTGAGCCTAGCTAGTTTAACATTTGATTACTTTTGAGTTTTCGACTATCTATATAGCCTGCGTTTCGATAGTGGCGGCTTTGCTTCAATCCGCAATTTTTCCTAAACGAAAACGCTGCATTTTGCAGCGGTTAGGTTTGAATCCGCCAAAAAACAAAGAGGGGCATAATGTTAAGAAAAGGCCCAAGATGTAGAAAAGTATACAAGTGGAAGAATTATTATTAATAGTAGAAAATCTAGATCACCATTTTGTATTAACCAAATATTGAGAAATATAAATAAAATCTTTTTCCTCCTTGCTATATCACTCCTCATTTAGCCTCCTGGTTTGCCTATCTTTTGTTTGATTGTTTCTAACACATGAGATGATGCATTCTTCAAAGATTAACTCAGAATTACTGAAAAGATGGCGTATGTACCAGGACTAAAGTTGTCAGTGATTTTCTGTAGCTCAGAAAGGGAGAAATTTTTCCAAGAAGTCTCAAAGTATGACGGTACTAAATGATTTGCATCCATTTCAGCAGGCAGAGCGGGCAAACTCTTCCTTGTTCTTTTCTTGGGAGTCTTCTTCATGGAGGGAAGAGCTGGTATGCTGGGATGAAATGTATGCAAGCTCATTGCTTGCCCTTTCTTCAGCTTCTTAAGGAATCCATGCCACTGAGAATGACTTTTTCCATCTGCTGGAGTCGGCAAGATACAGAAATTATTGGCCTCTGAGGTTGTTTCTTCACAAGTTTTCTTCTCCTCAATGGCCTCCCTACTCAAAGCTTTTCTGTCCTCTCCTCTACTCTGATCTTCATTGCCCCCCATGCTTAAGCATTGCATCTCTGAAACACAATTTTGAATCACATGAATAGGGACGTTTGGTTCCCTAATTGGGCCTTATAGCACTTCCATCAAAACACTAAATGATTAAATCCAAATAAATCTGTTATTTTGTGCAACCTGAAAGTCTTATTAACTCATCATTCTCTCTTTAATGTTCTGAACTTCTGATATGAGATGCTAACAAGAATTTACCTTCAGCTGTGAGAGAAATAGACGAACAAAACAATAGCTTTGGTGCAATTTCAGCAATCCCCATGTCATCATTTTCTTCAGCGTCATCCTCACTGTGAATGAAATCAGTTAAAAGAACTCATTTGTAGCTCCTCAAGAAGTTCATAGTAATAGAATAATCAAGGGCACTTAAACTGATTTAGAAGGGAAACAAAAGGATGAAAAACAATCACCAATAACTATTCCTCTTTTTTTCCGAAAAAGGAATTCAACAATGGACAACGAAACATGGAACACTTCCTAAAAAGGAAAGATAACTAGAGATTACTCCAAATGGAAAGGTTACCAGGAACAGATAAGTACGTAGTAGTTAAAATCTATAAAATATACCAGCATCTGAAATAAATTTATTGCCAGAAAACTTTTCAATTTCTCATTTAAACTCAAGTCGAATTCGAGTGTTAACCATGTAGGAGCAACTACTAACAAGATTATTAATCTTATCAACGCTCTCCTTTTCTACATCCAATGCTGCTCTAAGAGCCTAAAATGTCGGACCTGGCCAAATATTAGCTGTAATTTCAAATCATAAATATGCACCTACCAGTCATTAGTCATGCCAACCCAAAATAGAGTAGATTCAATCCTTATCAATATAAACTAACGAGATTATCTATTGCCTTTTCACATTTGGTGATATAATTATCGTAATTTTAAAAACAACAATGTGAAATTGAAGAAATACATGAGATAATATGAAATTCATGAGAATTAATTTAAAAAAAAAACAATAATGCATATGTGTCGTACAAATCGAAATGATAAAATGTAATAAGAAGAATGGGAATATGGACAATAAATACAGCATTGGTAGGAGTGCAGATTATATGCTCCATCAGCCACCATTTTTATACAGATTCGGCTCTGAATGTACATTCATTCATGTTTGAGAAAGAAGGAGAATACCTTTGAGAAACGGTGGGAAGGTTGGACTTTCCCATGGCTCCTCCTCAAGGACAACAACAAAGGAAGAAAGAAAAGGGGATTGTATATATTCCTGTTCAGAAAAATAATTCAGGTTCCCAGGTTACAAGAGAGAAACACATTGAAATTGAGACTTGTAAATGAAGGACATAGAGGAGATAGGCACAGCCGTAGAGGGGAAATAGCGGTTGACAAGTTTTACCTGCTAGCTACATGCATGTACAAATAAGATAGGTAAAAAACTGTTTGTGCATATTTCTTTTACCTATCCAATTCGTCAAAAAAGGCTGATTTTTTTTAAATGTACGGAATTGTCTGTGTAGCGTGTAAAAAATGGTGTGTACACGCCCGAGCATGTACACGAAAAATGACTTTGTGATTTCTTGGGCCAATGCATTTGGTGAAAAGTTCTCATCAAGAATTTAATTTTTGAAATGTGTGAATTCTTTGTGTTGAATTTGTTATTATTTTGTCGAATGATTTTTAAAAAAATAGAAAAATTAGTAAAATCATCACCGTTATCAAAATTATCTAGACGTATTTATCTACGTTTATTGTTCAATTAGTGATGATCGACTCAAACTCATAACATTATTACTACTAATATAATTATAATAGTAAAATTAGCATGCAGTTATGTATGCCAATTTAATTATGTTCAAAATTACTAGAATACCGAGATCATTGCTATGTATAAGAAAGTTCAAGGCGTTGAAGAACCATGAGCAAATAGTAACATAAATTTGGATAGGTTAGAGAACCCAGTTACAACACAATTACTACAGAAATAAAAAGCTAAATCACATTTTCTTCTTCAATAAGTGCCACTAGTTTCAAATTCATTCTCTAATCTCTTACATATTCAAGTGTTAAACTCGAGCTAATTAATACGGAGTACTAACGTTTTGCACTCCATTTACTGTAAGTTTTGCAAATTTTTAAGAGAGAATGAGTTTTTGTGTAATGTTGTAAATTCTTACTTATTGGGTTAGTGACTTACTGCTACCCAATTCTTTCTCATATTTTACAGGACTACGTATGAATAATATATGAAAACATGACTGAAATTATTACCAATACATCTTTATGATTATTTCAATGTAAATTTGAACATATTGCAAAAAAAATGTAAATTTGAACATAATAATAATTACTATGTAACACCGTCTCCAAGTGTATTTATTTTTAAGTGAATATTGTATTTAACCTTATTGAATGGTTAACGAGTTTACGATGTTATGAATTTTTATTAATTCTTTTGCGAGCATAGTAAATTCGCACGTGGGGCCCACACCGGGAGCGGGGACCGCCCGATATTCCCGGGACCATATATTTTATTCATCTTGGTCTAGATGATATTTATATGGTGGTGGATATCTCGTTGAGCAATGGAAAGGCCCAGAGTTGACCGATTGGTCAAAAGAGGCCCAAATACCGGTATTGGTAATTTAACCGATAAAAGCCCGAAATTGGATTTCGGAGACCTTTAAATTAAAGTTGGGAAATGTATATTCATTATAAAGGGTATAACGATTAATAACACATAATATATTTTATTTGACCCGATAAAATAAAATATATTTAAAACAGTCCGAGAAAATACAACTTTCGGGACCGATTGTACACTTCTGGACAAAAGGGGTTGACCTCCCACATAAGTGGGGGCCAACCCACGAATTTTGACACATGAATGTGGAGGTGGGGCGGCTGGATTAGAAGGAGGAAGGAGGGGAGTGTTGGAGTTGAAATGATGAGCATCAAAGTAACATGAGGTGGACCTCCCATCCACACTCATTTGATCAAAGAGACAAAAATAATCCTCACCCACTCTCTCCCTCATCCCTGCGGCCAACACCCCCAATCAAGAGCCAAGAAAATTCTCCATCTTCCATCTCCATTGTTGAAGAAAGCTCAACAAGGAAGGATCCCAAGAAAAGGAATTTAAGTGCTAAAAGTGTGAAGGTTAAGGTAATAACCTTATCATAACTTTTTCTATATGTTTCCCTTCAATCTTATGAGATATATATCATATGGAGAATCCTTGGGATTGTTCTACATGAAAAGAGTGTAGAATTATGGGTTGGAAAGTGATTCTAAGTCCAAAAACGGATTTAGAAGTCAAAACGACCGGTTCACCGGAAAATAACCTTTTAGGGGTTATTTGTATTGATTAAGGTTTTATGATGTTAAAACCTTGTTAGGAACTTGATTAAAGTATTTTTGAGCTTCGCCGGAGTTTCGCCGGAGTTGGTCAAAGTTCACCAGAGTTGGTCAAAGTTCGCCGGAATTAGTCAAAGTTCAACCGCGGAGCGTAGAACACGCTTAAGCTCACTTAAGGTGAGGATGACCGACTATATTGCTTATAATCTTTGGGTTAATTTCATAAGATTTCCTAAATGAATATACAATGTGATTTGCATGGATTATTAATGGTTAATAATGCCTAAATGAAATTACTATTGATTATAAATATAGTTTGCATAATATACAAATTTATTGAATAAATTGTGTATGCTTATATGTTATGAATATGATGGCATGATAGTGGTATCAACCATAAATTCCATTTGTGATAAGTATGCTTTTAATTCATGAGAAGGAGCCATGAAGGATAAAAGTGATATTTTGATATTAAGGACAAATTTCATATTGAATGAAGAATTAGATTGAATTGAGTAAATAACTAATATTGAAATATTAGTGGGAATTGTAGTTGAATAATGGATGAACGGATCCTAAGAAATTGAATGGTAAAGAATCGGTGATTATTGAGCTGGGCTCTAGACCGATGTAGATAACGGTGATTATTGAGCTGGGCTCTAGACCGTAGTAGATAACGGTGATTATTGAGCTGGGCTCTAGACCGTAGTAGATATCGGTGATTATTGAGCTGGGCTCTAGGCCGATGTAGTTGACGGTGATTATTGAGTTGGGCTCTAGACCGTAGTAGGTAACGGTGATTATTGAGCTGGGCTCTAGACCGTGGTAAATAACGATGAATTGACACTAAACGAACAAAGTTAATTATGATATGATAATACCCTGGTTGAGGGTCTTGGAAATTGAAACATTGATTATACTTAGTATAGTTGTCATTGTACTTGTCAAATGCTTCCAAGTACTGACCTCCCCTTCACGGGGGAGGCCACCTCACAGTTTCAGGTAGAACTTAAAGGTTGCTGTCATCGCCCACTTGTTCGGGAAGATCAAGGAGAGAAGACGTGGTTCGTGTTTCCTCCAGATTCTGTTTAAAAACAATTATATTAATGCTCATGGATATTATATTTTTGAATAATTATTTGGGGACTTGTATACCCGTGTTTGCCAAGGTGTGGCATGAATATTGTATCAAATGTTTCCGCTGCTTGAATGAATATTTTACATTATGTTTGTTTATGGATGTACTATGTGTGAATGATATTCCAGACGCCTTGTATGGTATGGATGTGTTGGACTACGGTTGACTATTCGTACTGTACGGCGGATTGTTGACGTGTCCGGGTAGGTCCGGGGCGTGACATACTAAAATTACTATTTTAGTCATTAAAATATAAGAAGTCACATTTTCCCCACTACATTTGTTATATTAATAATATTATAATAATAAGGCCTTTATTTTGAACATATATATGTCGTTATTTCTTTAAGAATATGTTTTCTATTCTTTAATTTGTATCTAATTGGTATTGGGCTGTTTATAAATTGCATCATTTTGTTACCATAATTATTCAAATATCTAGAATTTTTAAAATAAAAATATCTAGCCATAAATATTACCTAGAAGTTAATATTTTTGAATTCCTACATACATTAAATATATATTTCAATATTTATATGTCCAAACTGTTAACTTGGGAAGTATTGATCACTGATGTATTTGTGAATATTTCAAATATTGTTTATAAAAACGTGTACATGTTGAGGGTGTTTGGGTAACAACGTGTTACACCAAAAGCAATTTTATGTCGACACTAAACGCTGCTAAATGCAGCGTTTTGCCCCCCAACACCTGAAATACAAACATGCCCATTATGTTCTAGTTACATATTGATCTTTTGCTAGATTTGAACTATATACTTTTGTTTTATGTGGCTCTGAAAAATATTAAATTTAAACAACAATTTTTATATTCTAAAGCAAGGTAAAAACTAGAGAAAATTCGCGAAATAGGAATAAAAACGTTTGTAATTTTTGCCTATTTTGGAAAATACTACTACGTATCATGTTTAAAATATGATATTGATAAAACATGACAGTAATTAATCATATTTGAAGAATAAAAACATGACATGTTTGTTTTGAAATACACAAACATTTTTAGTCTAACAAAATTATAATAGTGAATGAAGGTTGGTACCCTTCATTTGTGTCAACATCCTTGTGCTACAAAAGTTGTACACTGCTCTTACAAAATGGAATCAACATTTTAAAGTGACTTTTTTACCCTTATATTCCAAACGGACGTTAATTAATGTCGTTCCGTCAAGTAATTTTCTGTAAACCCTCCAAAGCATGGCCTCATTCGCTCTAAAGTGCTGAGTCACGGGGCTCAGAAGGATGACACCACATTCCTCAAGGCCCCCCAACACTGACCGGATGACACGATGGGAGGATGTAAATTGGACTATAATCACAATCTGAGAGATAAAGATGGGGCTTCGTCCCCGTTACTTGTAGAGGCCCTATGCATTTGTCTCGTCACAGTTGTCGGGATTCGAATGGATAAAGATGTCGATTGGGTGATAGATACTTCAACTCGCTGGAATGGAAGCTCTCCACAAACGCAGACAGAGAGGCATTGAAGAGGATGCACAAAAGCTCTCCTTGGTCATTTGAATTCATACCTCATCGGGTAACTTTTTAGACTGAATTTCATCTTGCGATTACCCATTTGAAGGGAAAACGCAAATTTGGGTGAAAACTGAAAAGTTGTCAATTATTGAATATGGCGTGATATTGATACTACTTTGATGATGTACATGTTAGGGGGTGTTTGGATCTGATTCTCAAAACTGATTCTGCTTCTTCAGGGAGCAGAAGCAGAAGCTGGAGTGTTTGGGTGAAATTCCGGAAGCACTTCTGGTGTTCTAATTTACTCTCAGAATCAGTTTTTTTAGAAGCTGGTAGGTACCAGCTT